CCAATACCACCCGACACATCATAGGCGTATATAACCTCTGTATCATCACGAAAACCAAGTGTACGACCACTGTTGCAGTTGATCACGAAATGAGTTTCGCCCATATTACAAAGAAGGTCCTCGTATAAGTCTTGTGACTCGAAACCACGGCGTAACTCGCACATATAATACGCAACCGTTTTCTAGATATGATCCTGCTTCGCGGCGCTGACCATAAGCTTCCCGGTCTGTGCCCGATGGACTATGCCATGCACCTCCTATTGCAGCAAACAAATTCAATTAGAACAGTAGTCGATGTACAAGTGTATAAACTATAGATTAATATCTGCTTAACCCATCGTGTCTGAATTTTGTCGACGATAGATTTATTGTCGAATAGATCAATGAAGTTGGAATTGTATAATGACGCATCGTTCATGACAGTGCGAGCAAGTTGACCGATAAGGGCTGGAGAAAACTTGACTTCAGCGGACTTAGTCCGCATGAATTCGGACAGCAACTCGACGTACAGGTAGAATACCTATTCAGATCGGGGCCATCCACTGCCAGCAATAGCCTCAAGGTTTACCCTCTTTCGCACTGATGGCACAACTGCTGATATCGACTTTGGATTTGTACCGCCATATAAACAACTTTATTACGCATGGTTCTCCACCTTGTGGCTTTGGAATGATTGGCTTGCAAACTGTCAATGTCAATACCATTGTTTCAAATAGCTTGTTTCAACATACCTTGTAGTTTCCGCGGAACTCTGAGGAAACTTTAACGATCGCTCTAAGGATCAATCCTTGTTTATCATTCTGGTCTGCATCAGTTATCATCCAATTAATCACAGTGAGCTGCGACGGTATCGATACAACATGTTAAAGCTTGCGCTTGTTGACGATTTGATCATCATGATCTTGGTTCTTATCTTCAATCTTCTCTTCTCCCTCTCTTATATCTTCGTTGTCATCAAGTTTCTCGTCAGCGACATCGCCTGCTGGGGCATTGGCGCCAGCAGTACGTGCAAAAGCAGCGATGATTGGTGATGGAGAGCTCAACGCCTCAACACTCCACAAAACCACCATCAAACCACTTAAACGTTCAAAAATAGAATGATAATGACGTCGTTTTACTGTACAGTATATTTATTACGGATTTGTAAAGTCTGTGCGGAGTCTGCACTGTTTCTCAGCCTCCCAATTCGCAACTCTCTCGGTACATATATTATTGTGAACCGCACTGATTCTGAACCCACATTAATACATATTACACTAATTACACCCATCGGTGTACTCATTGGTCAATTTTGTGATTACATCCTTTCGCTTATCACTGCTAGATGCGCGTAAAGGGTAGTGCGTAGACTTTATCATACATTTAATTATATCAATATAATCAAGGTAGCGCAATTCAGACATTAGAGATATTGGGCTTGAACCTTTTAAATAATAATAGTGCTATTATTGCTACGATAAAAGCCTTTGTCTTAGTCGTTGACCCTTACTCTGTGGACTGTAAAAAGATAACAGGGCACTGAACGCCACTGTTGTCAGTGCGAGTTGATCCGTACTGGTAGTTCAATTTGTAGCAATCGGTCCCCCATATAATGACATGTAAGTACCGGTGCATACGAATTAGCGTGAAAGCTCGATATTTGCGTCATCTATACTTCTTAGGCATTAATTCGTATATCTTTACTACGTCTACTTTTTTCTGCAGAGTGCACTCAAAGCGATTCATCGGATGCAGTTCTGAAATAGAATTTTGTTGAAAGCGCTGCTCGTTTCCTTTTAAAATGACTTGATCTCGGCTTTACTAATAATCCTACATTATTGGTCTAGATAGATATAGTGGTATGCGGCGGACTAATAACACTGTCTTTCTATATAATCCCAGATCTGGTAAAAATTTCTTCATATAGTCATTCATGATCATAAGGTCACTTAGACTAGTCGGTCACTTTCTTAACAAGCTACTTCAAGTGCAAATTTGCTCGTTCAGAGATATAAAAACGCAACATGGATACGAAAGCACGATATGTACAACAAGATGACACATTTAAATCAGCACTAGTGATATATACTGTACTGTCGTGCACGTAATTGGACTCACTTACACTTTATACTCAGTATTGAGGGTTCATGATCATGTCGTAATTAATTGAGAGAGGTCAATAAAGCCCAACGTTTGTTGTGATTCAGGATCTTGTATCGATTGCTTACTATGTTCTATGAGATGAAGATTTTGACACGCAAGCGTCTTTTGGTACAGGATACATACACTCTGCAACGAGAATGTATGTGCTCTTAGGCACTGCATGGAAAAATTCTTTCCATTGAATGTATCACAATCAAGTGTTACGATAAGTGCCAAACGTTCAATCTTTCCCAATTAGAAGCCGTTATCTGCGCATAAGTATCGAAGAACCTGTATTGGAAACAGCATTGTCGCACATGAATTTATATTTTGTACATATATTCACATGTAGATCTATAACAGAGACATGACTACCACCGAAATCCACTTCATGTTGACATCTTCACCAGTTTCACCTGTAAAATAAACGTCAGTTTTACTTTTTGTGTCCGCAAGCATCTGCATAGTTATCTTTACTATCAAAAAATTTCGTTTTAAGTCCAGTGTCTTGTCTCCTCTTCTTGCCTTTATAATGCGAATCCTCAACTGACTAATGTTGCGTCTTCGACATTTTCTACAGCAACGCAAACAAACATTTTTTGACACTGCGCTGTCTCTTTCGTTCTTATTCTAAAGTAACGGCAAGGAGACAGCTACACATCTACACGATACCACAATTTAAGATCTGAGCATGAGCGATTGATGTGTCGTGGTCTCATTGAATTACAAGTACGGTTCTCTGACTAATGTAATTGGAGAGGAATATATATCATATGCGTAAATTAATGTGAGTAAAATTAGGCACGCTTAAATTTGGCCGTTTATTTCTCATCGTGTAGCATTTTCTTGTCATTTCTTATTCAGTGCATTTGCTGAATTTTGTATCTCGTAGTGCCCCATCTATTACCTGTGACAATTTTTGATTTCTTTTTCTCAGCAACTCCTCACCTCATCTTCATGAACACAAAGCAAGACCATATATGGCAAGAGTATGCTACTATCTTCATTTCTATAGTTTCGACTAAGGATTTGACAAATTTTACGCCAAGTTATAGGACCCTAAAGTTCGGAGAATAATATAAATATTATTGATTTTGGCTCGCGGCGAGCCACACTTGGCCGCCCCAAATCACCCACGTACTTATTTAATTTCTCGATTACTTGAAACTTTTCACGTACTCCTTGGAAGATGAATTAGTGTATAAGAACAATTTTGCAGTGTCAAAGTGTAAAAATAGCTGTCGTCACTCTTGACGGCATAGTTTTGCCGGTTTTTGTCTTTATTTACTTGAAACGGTGCATGCAATTATCCAAAAATATCAAAACCCTTTATGTTTTGCATAAAATTATTGCAAAGCCCATAATTGGCAGCAGCGAAAACGTTCACATCCGTCAAAATAGAATTGGAGCCTTAATATGCGACCAACAGTTCTGTACGGCGTATTCGGCTGCCTTCCTGGTCAGGACCTTGCGATATACATCCGTGCACCCGAGGCACTTTAAGGATGGCGGTGGATAGCAGTTAGAGAGACGAATGCAAGGTATTTAAGACCATGTGCTCGAGGCCCTTTATCAAGCATATAATTTTAGTTTTCATCAGAACAATTTGATGAAGCATAGTTTTCAATGGAACCGAGTAAAAATGACGTGATAGACGGCCGCAGTGATAGTCTGCCCCACAAAGCTCGTTTTGGCTCTTGAAATCACATCGGTTTTGGGATGACACTGTGGGTGCAGCAACTACCCTCATAACCTGCAATTGCCGAAGCCATTTGTTGAGGCGTGGTATGTTCTTGTTTGCTGATAAAGTAGTACATAGGTGTTGAAAACATGCAGAAGACGTAATTTTTGTGAGCAGTTCGACGGGAGGGTTGAGAAAAGGCGTTTTTGGTTGAGGAAACGGCGGGAAATAACTTTTCTTTCTGTTTTAAATTTGGCCGCCGAGAAAAAAGATCCAGGTTATAGGGGGCGCGCACCGTAATGCTTTTTTTTATCATGCGGTGCATTTTTAGTCTCGTGAATATCTAGCTCAAAGTTAAATTTACGATCTTTTCTACACCACAATACGTTGTGGGCTTACATGAATGTAAAAAAAACTACGGACCTTGTGCGTGCATAATATTAAGCTCACTAGAATGGTTAGTGGTTGCTGTTGCTACGAGCAGCTACCTGCCGTCAACATAATCCAACCCCGCCGAGTATATAGGCATGTCTTGATGCTCAAATAGAAGACGTTCGTGTAATGACTTGGTGTTATTTTCGAAACACCAACCTACCGTGCGCCCCGAAGGCAGCCTAAAGCGCGGCTTCTCGGCTGCGTGCAGCCAATTCTGGCGCTCACTCATTGTCAACATCGTTGTCCAATCATTTCCTGTGACGATATCGGCCACAACGACTATCGTACTGCTTTCATGGCCACCACGATACATCGCGTGTCGAGTCTTGAAACGAGCGTTATAGCAACGCTGTGCGGTCCGTCAACCTGTACACAACAAGAAATACGCCTGCTTATCTTTCGGAAACTAGGTCCACTTGGCTATTGTCTGCCGCAACTTTCCGCTGGCATTTATCATGGCGTCAACTACTGGAAAACTCGGACGTGTCGAGCGACGCTGAAGTATTTTCTTGACGCAGACCGTGACCCTGCGTATCTTCAAAAGCTTTTTACTTCTTTAAGCCATCGTTTGCCAGCGATTATGGACCGGTAGCAACTGCTAACAAGATATGCCCAATCACTACTTTCACGTTTTCCTGCGCAATGCAAGGCGAAAACACCTCGAAAAGACTGGACCTAACCAGGTCCGTGCTTCGACCGCGTACACACAGCGTCTGACTCGGACTCTGAGAAGCATGTCAGATGATCATTGCCGTGGTAAACGTCACGTCATTCTCACTTCGACAACATACCGGATGCGGGCTTGTGCTTCATTGTACACCACAAGCTCTGCATACTTCGACAGCGTCGGCTCCACCAGCTTATAACCTTCAGCCAAACGTGAAGTAACCAAGACGTTTCGGTATGACCTTACCAAGTAGCTGTACGGCATCGCGCTGTTTGGCCGAATTGTCACCTTAAGAGTGGCTTGGCACCAGGCGCCGCTACAAGGCGCATCTGTGTCCCTATCAGCTTCGAGTATTTCACGACTCACCAACTCAATCATCACCGCACGCTCACGGTATCCATACTGAACAAAGTTCTGACGATCGAGACCCGTTGTGCTTACCGTATGTGTGTCACCAGTACCGAAGCTCTTGTCTGCCACAAGCCTGGCCAAGTAATCTTGCGTCAAGGAGTTGAACTTCGGGTCACGCTCATGCCATGCTACTGGGACTGGTGTAGGCTCTGTCTTGGCCCATGCGCGGTCGTACGGTAGTTCACGGCCTACCTCTTTCACTCGCCCTAAGTGCAGCTTTGCTCCGCACTTTGGCGATACCACCTCATAGCGTGGATCGGGTATATGGGTAGCCAGCGCTTTCACACTGTCAATTCTTCCACGATGCATGGAGTCGAAACTTGTCCACGCTGCTGCTGTGGCGAGCTCCGTCGACTTTCCCAGCGCTACTTCGCATAGCAGCATATAGTGGACCTCATGTGTCTTCGTCATGTTCTCACCTACATTGCCTTCCTTATTGAGGACAGGAAGTGCGTAAGGCGTACCACAGTAGCCGAGGCTCTTCTCGACTACATTCGCGAAGTATAGACCTTTGCCGTATGCGTACCCGTGGTGCGGAGCCTCTGGCGGGGCTACACGTAGTCCTTGGGACAAAATACCCAACAAATTCGTACGCTTTGTTCCGTGCCAGAGCAAATGCGTTTGAGTAGCTCGCAGATCAGGGCGTTCTTTCATGAGATCATCAAAGCGTTCACTTTCACCTCGGCGTTCGACTTCAAAAACGTTGCTGATGCAATACCGTTGGCGATCCCGCATATGCAAACCACCAAAGAAATATCGGTTGATGAGTTGACGTTCATTGTCGTTTGGTTGCAACGGCGCAAGTCGCACTTGCAACGAATGGTAACAGTACTCTAGAGGGTTTCGGACTGCCACCGCGCTTTTTGCGCCCAATATCATTTTGTAGATTTCCACAATATCCGACAACATCCGCATGCGCGTAATCTCAACGTTGACGTCGCTCGCCTGGTCAAAAGCTTTGATCGAAGACTCGAGAGTAGTTTCTTGACACGGCATGATTTCGTAGTACCGGCTGCTCCGCTCACTCACGTCCTCTATCAGTGTTTCGTGGCGAGCGATGAGAAGTGCGCGCTTGCTGAACCCCTCGTCGCTGAGATCACAGCTTGCAGTTTCAATCTCCTTCATCAACTTCTCCTTCTCTTCTAGTAGACCACGGATTCTGACCAGCTTCTCCAGCGCCAAACGCAACTCTTCTTGTTTCGCAAGCGGTAAGTCGCCACCAGCATAACCACAGTTGGACTCTGCTGCAAGCTGCAAATTGTGCACGTCGGTAATAGCAGCCAACATAGTCATCACGCTCGGGCAACCCACCAAGTCCGGATCGCTCGGCTCGACAAATACTGGTCTTTTGCGACCTTTGTCTTCCATGTCCGCTCGAAATGATCTAGTCACCTCGTCGTCCACCTTCGCAGAATAATTCACACGCTCGATGAGATTGTACTTTTTCGGCTTCTTCACAAAATTGCCAGCGGTCCGCGATTCCCATGTGTTGCCGGTCTTGCTCCGAAATATCTTCTTAAATTCACTCCTGGCTTCTGCTTCATCCCGAAAAGGTGTGTTCTGAAATTTGCCAGTCTCACCAATCCGGCCCCAGTTTGTGAAGAGCACGAAGATCGTTTGTAGCTCATCGTGGACTAGCTGCAGACGATAAAAAACATTCGATCCAAAACGCCCACTCCTCACGTCTACCTTTGTCAATAATGCGTCCAGTGCAATTCCTCTGCCCTCACCCTCACGACATACTTTGCTTTCTTTGCCGACATTGCAGTTCGCGTTCACCTTGGCAAGTATATGTGACTGTTTTATCTTGCCCGACAACTTGCAACCAGCCAGATACGCATTAGCGTCGTCCACATACGGCAGAGCAGCGGCGAAATCGGTAGCAATTTCGATTTTTCTGGCTTGCGTCATCGAGACGACTTCGGGATATGTTCGTTGAAGAAATCGAGAAATAAAGCACGAGCGCTGGCTCCTCGTGTAGTCGATAGCGTCTTGTCCCGAGCTATCCTTAGCATGCAAGTCACCACCTGCACGAATCAGCATTGCCAATGAGCTCGTGTTCTCATAAGATCCATAATCAAGTGGCTGCACAGCAATGTGACAAGCAGTTAGTCCATTCGCGTTGCGCTGACCAAGCACTTCTTTCACGATGGCTTCTGGAATATGGAGTGAGCACATGCGTGTCACGGGGGCGAGTGCAAACATATCTTTGGGATCAGGCACGGACCGAACAAGCCCGAGCACGAGACGCGTCTCAGCAACAAGATTACGCGCGACTAAATGCATGAGCACCGTGTTTCCTTTCCCGTCACATGTTGACAATTTGGCGCCGTAGCGAAGTAGGAGTGCCAGCGCGTGAAAACGTATGGACGCATCAGGTGTCAATGCTACACGTATAAGAGGTGGCAGCGTTCCCATGCCTCCTTTGGCCAAAGTCGTAGTCTCGCGGAGCTTACGACCTGACCGCAGCAGCCGATCACTACCTTCATACAGCTCTCCACAGGAATCGTTCCATTGCTCGAGTGCTGTCGCGTGTGCAACGTGAAATCGTTGGTTCGGGTCGGCACCTCGCGCAAGTAGAGTTTCAAGCATAGTAAAGTATAGTACAGGTTTTGCTACAGCAAGGCTCTCTGTAAAGCGATCCAAGAAGGCACTGATCACATTTACGCCACAATCGTCAGCGTGGTTAATGTCCAGTGCGAGCAAAGGATGTTCCAAAAAGTAACACAAGACAGCAAACAATTGGTCATCACTGGAGCTGCCACTAGTACTCTTTTGCTTGAAGGCGTACACAAGTGGAATCTCTCCGGCCCGATTCTTCACGTTCTCAGTATTTGCTCCAACGCTGTGGTGACGAAGGAAATCCATCAAATGCGTATTTCCCCGCTTGGCTGCGTAGTGCATAGCGATGTTGCCCATCTTATCGCGATCATCAACACGAACACCCGCACCCAACAGCGCCCACGCTAACTTCTTTGCAAGGGTGCAAAACACAGTTTGCTTTGTCTTGGCCAAAGAATGTAGCAATGTCTCACCTCGTGAGTTAGGACGCCTTAAGAGCTCTGAACCATGTTCAGACCCCGATACCAATGCTTCCAGCAACTTATTTGCAAGCTGGAATTGGCTGCAACGCACCGAATCCTCGATAGCTTGGCGCCGACAGAAATTTGCACTCAACAACATGTGGCAAACGCCAGTAAGTCCGTTACGCACTGCGTGATGAAAGTAACTTCGTGTCTTTACCATTGATTCGCCTTTGAAAGATGATGCCAATGGACACGAAGCAAAGCCATCGCGAAAAATGACAGGTTGGCGAGCGATGCGTATCGTCCCACCGACGGTAGATCCACTGCGCAACAAAGTCATAATGGTTGTCTGCCGCTTGTGCAAGATAGCCTGGCCAAGTGGCGTGAACCCATCGTGGTCTTGTTGAGCCATACACGCCTTCTGCTTGCTTGCATTTCCGAGGAAAGTGAGAAGCGTCGACACACAAACAAACGCTCCTGTGGCCGCTGACAGGTGCAGCGGAGAGCGTCCCAGTATATCTTGCGCCATGATATCGAGGTTGCATTCCGCTACTAGATTGGACACGGTTTCGACCGGGTCGGTTTCTCTGTCTGGAATGACGGACAGGTGCTCAACAAGGAAAGCTTTTTCAACCTCATGTTTCTCTGCGCCAAATGAGTGTCCTACACGATCCTTCTGGTCGCGCAATAGCTTGTGCATTTTTTCGTGCTTCTCTTGCCAGTCGAGCTGCACCTTAACCAGCGCAAAATGCAGAACTCCGAACCCAAAGCAATCTTGAGTGCTAGAGATGGCACCACTCTGCAAAAGAAAACGCTCTACTGCAAACGATGCATCAGCACTCATGGCAGCGGCGTTCACAGCATAATGTAAAGGTGTCCGGCCTAGGTAATCTCGCTGATTCACAGCGTCACGTACGCCACTCTCACCCGCTGTTCGAAGAAGCTCTCGTAACAAATCAAGGTCGCGATTGCGTGCTGCATAATGCACAATAGATCTGTTCTTCGAGTCACCAAGAACAACGGCTTTGTGAGCGTTTGCATTGTTTAACGCAATCAAAATAGCCGACGTCTCCGTAGGAGCTTGCTGTTTATGCGGCTGATTGGCATCGGTCGACAATGTTACGGAAAACTGAGCTGCTTTTGCTGGAACTGGACGACCAGCTGGCAAAAGCTGGGCGATACTGACCGTCGAGTACGCGACTTCGCTTACATTGGCTTTCTTCGCTGGGACAGAATGTTTCGCAGCAACTGCTAGATGCAATGGTGAAGCCCCCGAAATGTCCTGTGTCAGTAGACTTGCACCATGGGAAAGCAGCGCACTCGCCGAAGCACAATCATTGGCCTTCAAAGCTACATGTAGCGGTGATTCATGTAAGAGTCTTCCAACACAGTCAACGCGGGCACCGTGCTTCAGTAACAGACGCGTACATTTTACGTGTCTGCGTTTTACAGATTCATACAGCGCCGGCTCCACACGCGTGTGCAGGCCGCAGTGTCCTGTGCAAGAAAGATTAGTATCGCGACTGACAAATGTATCCGGCTTGGCTCGAGCAACGGCGTCGGCAACGGCAAATTCACTACAATTCGCACATCGTACTGGCGACAAGTTGGCGTCTGCTTGGTGCTCCAATAAGACTCGTACAGTCGGTTCATTTCCCATTTCCACTGCGTAATGCAACGCGGTCTTGTAGGTGCACAGATCCACAAAGTTCACCAGCGCATTGACTTGGTGACTACGACTGGAAGAAAATAGCTCAGGACGCTTTTCCAGTAACACGTCCATTAGGCATTCAGTAGTCTGATCAGTACAATCTAATGACTTGCTCCGCGAGTTCGCCACCTCGCCCAATTGCTTTTGTCTGGCAATGAAATGCATGGCCGTCTCAACTTCGGCCATCACTTTTTGCTTCGCTTCATCCTTCGGTAATGTATCAAATGTAGACAAATGCCCTATCGGGGCAATGCGATCATCAGTGCTGTTACTGCTATTGCTATCACCCCTAGTTTTGTCGCCAAGATATGCGGTAGATCCGTGGGAACTACCGCTTACGAATACCGTTGCCGAATTACTTCTTTCGACAGTCCCATTTTTATTGCCCACGTAATTATTCTCTTTAGCAGCACGAACGTATCCAGTACGTACGGGCAAACGCGATACCTCTTCGCATCGCACAAAGTTCTCGCGCCTTGTCGACTTTTCTGCATAAATTTTAAACAGCTGCGTAAGCCGCATAGCAACATTACGCATGTGTTGTAACTTGTCAATATTAGTTTCGATCACCGCTGGACAAGATATCGCGTTCAGCTCATGACTGGGATAAAGTAAGCGCATTACAGGAGTGTAGCCGGCAGAGTCTTTCTCACACATCAATTCGGATGTCGAGGAGCACTTGTCAGCACATTCACGAATTAGATCGGACCGCGCTGACAGCTGAGATGCCTTTTGATTTGCCACGACATGAAAAAAATTCTCACGCTCGCGTTCTGACTTTCCTCCAAGAAGAAGTGACCCACTATTTGTCAAGTTGTTGTGATGCGTTAGCAGCATTGACAGAAAAAAATCTCCGGTACCAGCGCCCAACGATGCCGCAGTGATCCATGCGTCAGACCCGTCTGAAGATCTTGCTGCAGGACGAATACTGCTGTTTTCAAGCAACAGCGCAACTATATCAACCTGCTTGCTAAGCATAGCTATCTGGAGTGGTTGCATTATGGGCGTCTCAAATGTTTCCGTGTCTTTTACTCGTTCATGGTACAGTTCGTACTGCGGGTGGGCACCATACTGCAGCAAAAGCTTAATCGCTTCCAGGAAAGATGCAGCGGATTTCCGGAAGACGACATTACTATCTTCATCTTGTGGGGCGTCATCGCAAGCACGCTTGATCAAGCGCTGCAATGGGTATTCACCGTTTGAGTTGCCAATATTCGGATTCATTCCCTTTCCAAGTAGATAGCCAAGCTGTTCAAGGTTATGTGAATGCTGGCAGTGCGAAAATAGCACCGTTCGACCTTCCCGGTCTCTGAAATTCAACGATGCTTGATGCGCCGCACAACTAATCTGAGCTAGTATGATCTCAGCGCAAGACCGCCGCTGCTTGAGCATCGCACACGCAAGTGGCAAGAAGCCCCATGCGTTCTGAGACCACAGCTCAGCGCCAACGTCACACAACATCTGCAGGCACGAGGGCCACCCGTAACTAGCTGCGTAGTGAGCCACGCTATTTCCTGACGAGTCGTAGGCGTTTACATTTGCACCGCCATTGATAAGTACTGCTGCAACGCGTGTGTGGCCATTCTTCACAGCAAGTATCAGCGGTGTCTTCTTTTGCTTATCACCACTATCGACACGAGCTCCATTTGCAAGCAACACGCGAACGCACTCAATGTGGCCCTCCTGTGCTGCCAATACCAATGGGGTCGCTTTGCTTGTGCCGTTGCTTGTAGCATTCACCTCTACGGCGCAACCACATTCTCTCAATAAGTATTCCAAAACCTTGACACACCCGTGCCTTGCTGCAAAATGTACTGCCTGCTTACCCCCGGGGCCTTTCTCACGAACAAGCTTGCCGACGACTTCTTGGCTTTCGCCACCACTCTCTCTCAGCCTGACAGCAAACTTGAGTAATGCAATGGCTGTCTCCTCTCGTCCCGCCTCAAGTGCGCACATCAGCGGTGTCAATCGTGTTTTGGTTCGACCAAGACTATTGCAGCGTCGCTCCAACAAAAACTCCATAGGGGCAGCAAACTCGCATACTGCCGCATAATGAATGGGCTCGTAGCCCTGGTCATCCTTGACCGCCCCGAATTCGTCTCCTACCACAACCCAAAGCGCCGCAAGGAACTTTGAGTTGGGGTTTATACACGCCAAGTGCAGAGGGCGAAGCCGCGTTTGGCTTGCCTGCTTTAGTGCTGACACAGCACGAAATGGAGGCAACAGAGACGCGTGTCCACCATGGTTGTTAGCAGTACAATCGGCAAGGACTCTGTAGTGCAGCTCGTTGAATCCCCATCCACCGTTTTTCTCCAACGTCTCGACAACTTTGCGTACCAACCGAAAGTTACCACAGCGTGCAGCTTGGCAAACTTTTGCTCCCATGTCATAGCCCTTTGTCCAATCCCCCACTGGATACATCAGTGTAAACATCTCAACACTTGTATCCGGACTGCGCCAAAGATAGTCGAGTGACGGTGTCCGATCGCTAGTGCAATCACCAAGCAGCGCGTTATTTCCTTCTTTTCCTCCACGACTAGCATTGACCGCACGCCGATCGTAGGCGCTATATTGACTCGTGTGCCGTCCAGTCGAGTGCGATGGTAGCGCCACCTCGGGAGCAGCAGCAAGTTTCTGTGCGTCGATCGTCTTTGTCCTATGTAACAGCACTGCAGCTGCTAGATCGTCGTGATCGATAGCGTAGTGCAACGCTGTCCGCGCTACGTCTGCACTCCGCGGCGCGTCAAACGTGCTCAGCTCCGCGTACACATGCGCTGACGTCGTAAGCATCTCGAGCAGCTTGAGGTTCTTGGTCAGCACAGCGCGCACGACTTCTCGGTTTGCTGAAGCCACGTCCCCTCGAAACGATCGAAAAGGCTGCGTGCCCAGCACCTCTAGATCCTCGTACGCAGCCTCGTCCACCTCTGCACGCAGCACCGGGAGGAGCAGAGATCCGCCGCGATCTCTTGGCGTCCGCCCCTCGATCTTGACGCGCTTGGCACTCGACGTCGTCCGTCGGCGCATAGCCGCACGACATCTGTTCCTGCTGTCCAGCGAGAGAGACGGCCGCAACCGTTCGTCGTCGTCGTCGTCGTCCTCTTCAGCTGCCACGGGCTGCCCCGCCCGTGCTGCACGAGAGCGCGCGAGACAGCGCTGTACGCGCAATAGCGACTTTGCTGTCATCTCCAGCGTCGACGCCGTCGGCTCGCACAGACGCACCTGGCACAAGATACTGGCAACGTCCACGCAGTCGTCGTAGGTGACCACGTAGCGACGCTGGGCGGTGTGCTGAAGCCACGTGACGCGGACACTCGTCTCGTCGTGGGCGGCCAACATGTCCTCTGTCACGTCGTCCTGCAGTTGTGCCAGCCAGAACGTGCACGTGGCCACGTCCTTCGTCGCTTCCAACGTCCCGTCGTCGTCCGTCTGCGCGTGCCGCGGCTTCGTCGCCCTCGCGTTTGTCGGCGTCTTCTTTGGTAGGCGCTCGCCCGCCCGCTCTTGGTCGGGGCGCGAGGCCAGCACAGCCACGAAGCTGTGGGCCGCCATGGCCACGTCCCAGTCGGGTTCGGTCCACTTGCGCTTCGCCAATGCGGTCATAAAGTGATGGGCAACGGGCTTTGCGCGGTCGCTGGAAGGGAAAAGTGGACGACGAGTAAGTTGAAGTGGACGAATAGGGGGAAAGGGGCAACGTGCGTGCGTGGGTGCATTGCGGACGTGGAGATACCGACAGCCATCGGGAATTGGTAGTCCAGAGCGGGTGAAAGACGAGTCAGGCAGAACAAGTCACGCTCTCTATCTCTCCCTCTCGCTCTGTCGGCGATCGTGCAGGTGCTCGGTATAATCCAAAGTTGGTCGGTAACATCCGAGTGCGACAAGATTTTAGGCGAAAAGGGTTGACCCAAATATCTGACTCCAGCGGGGACCGATGCAGTCGACCTCAGCTGAAAAGACGCGATAACACCGAACGTTGTGCAGTATTGAACCTCGTATCCATATGGTCGCATTGTCGTGGGCCGACGCTGACTTATTCGTCTGCCACCATTGACCGATCTCCTTTACTGCTGAGCGAGCTGTTGGAAATGTTGGATGTTGGAAATGGGTGCGAGGGCACGAATAGGCGATCGGAGTGGTAAACCGGTGACTTGAGATTTATTTGGGACCATGATGTCATTAACTTGCTGTGCGCAAATGGTGGACGCAGATTGACAAGCAGAATAGTGTTTGTATTCAGGTAGAGTCGGAATGCGTGCGAGTTAGATGACTGGAGCAGAGGGCTTTGGGGAGCACGGCAGAGGAGAGAGAACTAGTAAGAAGCAATACAGAATCTTATCGTCCACCTACTGCATCCTACTGCAAGGCATACTTGACAACACGATCACGTTCCGTCGAATATCGTGAAGGTTTGCGGCCGCTCTTGCGTCAACAGCTGACTATAGCCACGAGATAGCACCACGATTAGCAGCGACACTGTTAATAGAAGAAGCAGTTGTAGCGCTATGGGGTACTTATAGGGGTGTACCGGATTATGAGAGCGGATTTCACATGCAAGGCTCTGTGCTGACACAAAAAAAGGCCTGTATTAAGGAGGTGTGTGTATAAAGCACAGAATATTTATATGGCATTTTGTATGTATAAGTGTGCGTGCCTAGTTAGACAGGTTACGGTACTGGGGGGCTTTAAAGGGTGGGTGTGCACCTACAAACCTCGTTGTTTAATTCGTCCATGCTCCTTTGCCTCGAAGTCCGTGGGATGAAGCATCGCACTGGGTATTGCTTCTACTTTAATGTCTTTCTTACGCATCAGTGGTAATGAGGTAATCGTCACCGTGGCGGTATCTTGAAGGGCAAAGTTGGGAATGCATACATTCTTAATGTTGAGTGCAATGGCCGTGAGGCCTGGCTTGACAAAATTGATGTTGCATGCAATTGGTTTATGACCCGCAATCTAAACCGTGATCTGCGATGTTGTACCGTTCGTCATGAAAGGCGGAATTCACCTGCCTCTCGCGGGCAGTCCTTTTCAGGGTCGTCATGACAGCTCAAACGGTGATCCCAGAAAGGTTTTCTTCCTTGATTAGCCCAATCAGATGGCATGTAAACCTATGAACTGAACGAAGGGCTGCGAACATGTAAGCTTTTTGCGAGCGCGTGGAAAATCATGTTCTGCTGATCTTTTTTGCCATCGGCTGACCACGTCGTGATGCTAGACAGATCCAGGTCGTCATATACTAGTTAAATTCGAGGTACCACATCTTCCGAGGAAGGCATATGACGGGGCCACCGGACGAGGTAAAAGATCCAACTCTTCTTTATGTCTCTATGGTCCCAGATGATCTGCCAGATAGCGGTGATCACCTCGTGAAACTACCAATGGATGTAATGGTGGCGTGAAGAAAAATCAGGCTCAAGCGTCAGACCAAGTTAGTGTTGAGGTAGTGAAATGCGTGGTGCTAAGTTGTGGGATGATCTTGAATATGATCGTTAAGACGTCCAACTCTGATTAATACAGTTCAGAGGCATCGGGCCGATCACTATAAATAATCGTTCCGACTACGCGTTCTTGTAGTTAAATGATGAGCGCGGGTAAGTTTGATAGAGAGAAAGATACTAACGACCAACCAAAGATCTTTTAATCACGTAAGTTAATCGCTTCTAAACGCGACCAAGTTGAAAGCCTGAAATGAGATCGCAAGAATATGATGGAGTTGCTTGATCTTCGTATATATCTTCAACGTCGGAAGAGGCCTTGTACTAATAGTAAGGGCGGACAAGCCCCTAGTGTAAATATCGGGATGCGTGCGGATCATAAGAGGCTTCTCAATCGTTCAAGCGTTGACTGGGCGACGCACACAAAAATGGGCCGATATATTTGGGAAGTTGTTTTTTGCTGCCCACATATGTAACCACGGATCTAGTTGTGTTCACCGATTAAAGTAGGACCAAAGCGTCTTCGTTGAATATAGAAAAAGGTTTGCCCTTACATGCTTATCAGCGTTTTGATTTTGTCGGTATACTGCTTTTTTAATGGAATCTTAGACGAAACATGCCACCCTTGTCATGCAAGCAGATACAGTCCAGAATTGCCTATATATTTGACATCGTTACCTCATGCACAATATGTAATGGGCCACCCCGTTACATAAGTAGTTTCGATTAAGTTTACATGTTACTTAAGTAGGGGTGTTACTTTCGAAGTAGCGAAAGTAGCACGTCGTATATTTTAGCTGGTTTAATGGGCTCAGTACCATTATTAGCCAGTAAGATATAGACACGTAGATTGAGTGGTTCCCATGAGTCCAAGGGAACCATTCGTACTTAGGATGATTTTAAAAGACAAAATATAAACAGAGTTAAAAATACTTAACACCTAAGACTTGGGCTTTGAGCTTCCTCAAAGCGTTAGAAATAGTGTACGCTGAGTACGGGTTATTCTAGCCCCGTTACACCTGGTAGCACTTAGTAGTCCTTCCCATGCCCGAGTTTGGGATGAGCGATTCGTCGTACTTTGACGCTCCAGACGTGAGTCTGGAGCACGCGACTTTTCCCCATCTCACTGGTGTTGAGTGGGATGCCCTAAATCGCCTCGCGGCGATATCGGGAGAGGCATTTGTTGTGTCGCTGATGAGATCAGCGACTCCTGATGAACAGCGTCTCGCCATACACGACTACATGGCTCGCGAGCTCGCCGAATTCCATCGGCGAGGTTTAACTCCCTCGCGGACTTCACGGAACGATGCCGTGAAGATGGAGACCTCCGCCTATTCTGGCGAAGGAAAAGAACGCTTGTCGTTGTCTCGTTGGTTTCGAGAGGTCGACATCGCTATCGCCTCGAGACTTCTCGAGGCTCCTCAAGCGAAGGTCAATTTCCTTCTTTCCCGTTTCACTGGGAAAGCCAAGGAGTGGGCCTTGGGAAAACTCGTTGTTGACGAGTTTGCGTTCCCCACTCTGGAAGCCATCCAGAGTGACCTTCGACTCGCCTTCGAGCCGCCCCAGGAAGAGAAGTTGGTGCGTTCAAGTTTCCTGTCCCTGCGACAGGGTAAGATGTCCATGCGCGACTACGTGCAGATGGCTCGACATCTGGCGTCTTGTATTGTCACGCATCCCATGGACATGTATACACAAGTGAACGTGTTTGTCGAAGGCATGCGTGAAGGGCAGACTCGCCTCTCGCTGGAACGAGCAGAGCCTGCCACGTTGGAGGAGGCTTTCGCTATCGCTCTCCGTGAGGATTTCAGAGTCACCAAGGCCTATACCAAGCCTTCAGTTGTTACCGCTGTCAGATCAGCGGGCCCGGAACCTATGGAGATCGATGCAATTGAGTCGTCGGGTGACCGACGACGCGCTACAGCCTACAAGGGCGACGTCCGAGTCGGACGTCAGATGATCTGCTTTCGATGCCGAAAGCCGGGACATCGCGCGGCTGAATGCCGCGCGCCAGCACCGATGTCGGTGCATGCGTCGGACACCCATCATGAGGGAGGTGCTCCGATCAGTCGTCCAAAAAACGGACGAGACCAGTAGGTGCAGGGCGCCCTACTGGTTTGAAGAGAGGTCCGGGTCCACCGGTGGCAGCCCGACCTCCCAGCCCATCTGTGCTGCGTGCACGGTCAAATGCCACCACTACGAGTGGTGATTCACGCCTGATTATTGTTAATCTACATGTCGCCGGTATCCGGCGACCCCTACGAGCGCTCCTGGATTCAGGAGCGACAAACAATTTCTTCCGTGAATCTTGCGTGTCAATGCTGCCACCCAGCATCCAGGTCCACGAGGGACCCGGCCAAGTTGTTGTCAAGCTCGCTGACGGGAAACCACGCCGCGTATCGCGGCGCGAAGTGTCGTTGCCGTACACGTTTGACGGCTTTCGCAGTAACGACAACTTCTTGGTGATTGAAATGAATTATGCATTCGATTGCATCCTGGGCATGCCATGGTTGGCACGCTATAAGCCCCAGATCGACTGGTTAGCCAGATCAGTGAGACGTCGAAGCAAGTTCGACGTCAGCGAAGTGTTCACCCATCTCTTGGTGTCTCCAAGTGATTGGCCGAACGTTACAGTCGTGGATCGTACATCCACGACACCGGCGGTACACAGAGTGAGCGATGGCCCTCTCTGTACCGCTTGTTCCGTGCCCCTACGCACGAGTGATGATGCCTCCTCGCTTTGCAGCGAGGAGTCCGACGTGGACGAGCAGTGGCTCCCACGTAATGACGACGCGGACGAGCAGTGGCTCCCGCGCAACGACGACGCGGTCGAACAGCGGTTCCCGCACGAGAGAGCAGTGGTCGAACACGAACAGGTGTTCCCACCTGTACCCATTGTGGTCGAGCAGAGGCTCCCACAAGGGCAAGACGTGGCCGAGCAGGGGCTCGCCACCGAGTGTGACGTGGATGGACAAGAGTCCCCACGTGCGAATATGATGGTCGAACAGGGGTTTCCATCATCGCCTACTGTGGTCGAACAGAGTTTCCCACATGAGCAAGACGTGGTCGAGCAGGGGCTCCCACACGAGTTTGTGGCGGTAGAGCAGGGGCTCCCGCATCATGCGTCGACGGACGAGTATGGAATACTCCCGTCGCGCGATTTCGACGTCCTGG